AGGCATCTCTCTACCTCGTCTGCCTTCGCCTACTGGTGGCCCTACTATAGTCCATGACTAGCAGGATGCGCGCCTGGCCGGCTGCAGCAACCCCGATCTTCTGCTCAGGCACGGCGTCGTTTCCGACCGCCCATGCAACTACTTCGTCGTTTTCCACTCCTTCGCCCAAATACTCGTCGAGCAGGGGTAAGGGACCGAGAGTGAGTCAACAGGACTTTCATTCTGCTCATATCCCGCGACATTTGGAGCACCGTTCCTCCAACTGCGATCCCGGAAGCATCCGCAATCTGCTCCAAAGGACAAGAACCGTCTGCTGCGGAAGCCTCATCGAACGTCGCTAAGGCGATATGGTCGCAGATCATCTTCTTGATCGCCTTAAACGCTTTGCAAGCCTCGGAATCTCCTGACCCGATTCCTCCTTCAACAACCTGTTTTTGAGAAATGTCGCCAGAATTCCCTGGTATCCTTCGGTGAGTCCCTGTTGGTCAATTGAGCTCATGTGAGCCAGTCGAGGCTTTGCCTGTTCATCGAATTTCCCGCAGTCCGTTTTACCTTCCCTGCGTCGACATCTTCATAAAGAGAGAAGTCTGGGCCCTTTAGCAACTCAGCCATCTCTTGCTCTTGGTCGGTGGGGTTGATCCCGGTCAGTTCCAAAGGAGGAGCCTCAGAGCTTTCATCCTCGAGGGATGGCTCAGTTTGATCTGGCGGCGTTTGTCCCACCTTTTGATCTGGGGAGCTTTGCTGGTTTTTGGAGTTTTCATTGTCTCCCACTTTCTTGGCTCGTTTCCCTTCTTCCACCATCTCCTTGGTTTTCGAAGCTTGTGTCTTGCGGATTGCGTCCATTTGCTCAACAACTTGGGCTTCCGTCAAGGAGGGGCCGCTTTTCAGTCCACCTCTTCGAAGGATTTGGAGTTGGGCGGCCCAATCCATTCCTTCCCATTTCACCCCTGTGGCGTGGGAATGTGGGCACGCAGTGGGCTTGTTGCGCCCCCTGTGGGACAAATTGTCCCAACAGAGATATTTGGCACCCTTCTTGTCCTTGGGCCTGTGGTCAAGTGCTCGAGCTGCTTCTCTCCCAGTGAGATTGGGTCCCATCAGCCCCTTGGGTTCCTGATTCTTGCCGGTTTTGGGCCCCAGGCGCGATTCCGACGCCTCGGTTCCCTCGCCGGCCTTTCCTCCATGGAGGGGGTTGTTGGGGCTTTTCTTCAATGCGACTTGCCAGCAGGCTCGAGACAGCATACGGTTGTGCCGGGGCAGTACATCAGCCTGGAAGTACTCGCTGAGGTCTTCCAAGTAAAAGGTCCTGGGGAGTCTCAACCACGGTTCACCGGTGCTTCCTCTTTCATCGCCCGCCGATCCAAGTCTCTCATCTCTTCAGTGTACCTTGACCAGAGTTCTTCCCACACACTGAAGATGGCATGAGCCGGCCACATGTAAGTATGCGCTTCTCCCAGTTTCAACAGGAAGGTTGCCGCTTGTTCAAAGGAAGAGTAATGCTCGGTGCCGTAAACACATGCAATTGCCCAGGCTTGCCCAAGGCATTTCGATACCAAGCGTTCAGGGTGACCGGAACCTTTGGTCTCTTCTCAAGCTTGAGGTCGGCACATTCGGCCCAGTTGTCGAACTCCTCTTCTCCGGTGAGCGGGAAGTCTGCAGCCGAAATGCAGTACTCAGGCAATGACTTGATGTCTTTGCCACCGAAGCGCGTTGCTGCTAACCCATAAGCGATCCGGTTGCTGATATTTACAGGGAACTGCATCGCTCTGAGCTGAGGTCTCCCTTGAGTGGACGTAGCTCGGAGGGCGTGGAAAAGTTCTTTCCCAACAGTTGCTGCCCCCAGCGAGACATTGACCAGGAGAACGAGTCTCTCCTCCACTTTTCCAGTAGCCGCAACTTTGCCACGATCTTGTCCGGCTGCCTCGTCTTTGGCTGCCATGGCCTTTGCAATCGTCTGGAGAGCTTTTGAGGTCTCGTCGAGTTGCGGTGGCTCTGCGTCACTGTAGGCTCCGATGTGCCTAGGCCGAGAGGCTGCTGCAAAGATCCTAGCAGCATCTGGTATGGTGTTGGAGGGATTGGCTGTCATCCCAGTGGGGAGGTCTTGAGATCCTTTGGGTCTGAAAAACGCTTGAGGATTAGAACCGGCTGGTGGTGTGGCCCGGGATGGAACCACATTGTGCGCTGGCGTTGCAACTTGGGGGGTTCCTGCCAACTCTCCTGAGAAGGGGCTCTGGCTTGCTGGGGTCCGAATGCTCAAGACAGGGTCTTCACCCTCGGACTCGAGCCCCCTGGCAGGGCAATCCTGAGTAACCAGTTCGATGATCGCCTTCTTGGCTAGTTGAGGGTATTCTTTGGGGAGCTTCGCGACATACTGTGTTGCTTGGTCCTTAAGCTCTTCCCAGGTCTCGTGTGGCCCACAACTGGGCGTTGCGCAGTTTTCAAGTGCTTCTCTGGGACCTTTTCCCTCGAGAGCGAGCCTCAAGTATTTTCCCAAAAGAGCAGCTTTCTCGGTGCCTTTGGCAGGGGGAAGTTCAGAGCTCTCACCGGGCGCGGAACGCGCCTCGGTGATCGCTTCTGGGGTCCTTTCGGCTGACACACTTCTTTTGGGCGCTTCGTTCCCTTGGTTGGATCTGCTCTTGGAGGGGCGGGGCCTCTCATCTTTGGAACTGTGGGCCTTACACAATCTGAGCCCTCCTTTGGTGATCTTTACCTCACGGTCGCATCCTTCCACGACGCAGGTGTGTCTCGCGGCTTGTCCCTCATAATGAAGTATATAAGTTGCCATCCTCATGTCGGAGGTCCTCAGCGCTGCTGATCTCGGCATCGGAACTCAGCAACTATCACTTTCTCTCCTCTCGCTGCATCTTTGCACGCAGTCAGCGACAGTGGGGTGGCCTTTCCTTGAACGAGAAAAGCAACTGACTCCGCTTGACATTGCGTCTCGTCATCAATCTCGAACTCTGTTTCGGAGTTCTCATGTCTCGGTGTTGACGTGCCGCTAGAAGGCGCGGCCCGATTTCGGGTCCTTGGTCTGCGCGCTCCACATCCCAAGCAGCACAGGCATTTCACCGCTCTTTTGACTCCCCGGTAGCAGCTCCCGCATAGGCCGACACTGGTATATCCACAAAGCCATGCAGCTGTTGCACAACGAGCTAAAGGGCCTTTGTCTGCAGCATCTTGCAAGTCATACTCGGCAGTTCGAGGTACAACTGCTGAGGCGATCACGTGAAGGCAGTCATCATCTGGTTGTGTGCAGGGGCGAGCGGCGCACAAATGGACACAACAACTCATGCCCTCCAGTTGGTTTCGGAAGTAGCGATGAGAGGCTGCATGGACATTGTCGCACTCGGCTTTGAAGCCGCGCCGATTGGTACGACCCCGTAATGTGCCGTGCCTTCAACCGTGTGCTACTCGCATTTACTTACCAAAGGGCACAGCAAAGGAACAAGGGCGTGGAAGAAAATCATACAAAGTCTTTAGTCTAAATCATCTTTATCAAAATGAGGAAGATTATTAGTATACATATTTCATAAATCCTGAGGAATGAACGACCCTGCAATCTTCTCCCCAAAAGTCCTGAACCCGGCCAAGTTCGTAGCGTAACAGTGTATTATCTTGCACAGTGGACTTGCCCTTCATCACGCTTTATTTTGCGGGAAAAGAGCATGAACCTGAACGAACGGCGATAATAGTCTTCAACCGAACTGTCCGAAAGTGATCAGTGCACTGCTTTGGTCAGAGCAACGACTTTGCTGAAACAAAATGTGTTTACACAGTCATTGAATGCACTTCTCTGCAGTCCTTGCGGATTTGTCTCACCCAAACAGCTGGTGGTGCAGTCCCAGTACCACCTTGCAGGGAGGAGGTATGGATGCTTGTATTATTTTTATCTATCAACTTCGTGATTGTCCAGATATATATATATACATATAAATCTCAACAAGTTTATTCAACCTCCATCCACCTCCTCTTTCGAACAGCGTGTGCAAAACAGAACCAAACACGAAAGAGAACCTGTTTCTGCAACACCGTCCTGATGTTGGCAAAGGAATATTCTGGAGCTCATGGGCAATCAGCAGCTTCATATGATAAGACGAGGGGATGACAGCCCATTTCCGGTGTGCGCCGGTGAAGATGGGTGGCAAACCAAATGTGATGGCATCCTTGTCGATGACCCCGCCCACGTTCTCCTCCGCAATCATTCTTGCACCTTCGTCTGTCTTCACATCCTCCACCAAAGAGAAGCCTTGCTTGGCGATGTTCTCCAGGTGAGCCCTTGCCGGTGCATTTTTCGCACACGAAGGCAGCCCGGGACATCGCACAACCGCAAAGGGGTCGAAGGTATCTTTCTTCCGAATGAGGCTCTCCAAAGCCTGCTTGGTGGTGTAAATGTCGCCACCGAAGTAGTTGTAGAACATCTCTGCCAAGTCTGCGTCCATACCCCAATCATCCTGCAGCATCTTCTTCATGTCGGACTGTGGCACTTCACCTATGATAATGACTTTGCGGATGTCTCTGAGGTCTAACCCTGCAGCTTGCAGGCGGAAGGGATACCCAAACTCTGAAGATATCAGCAAGACACTTGCTTGCTTTGTCTGCTTCGTCCATTTTGTGACGGCTTGTAGAGCTGACTTGGCCGCCGTGTTCGCATCTTCACCTAGTCCGGGCAATGCCAAATTTGCCTCATCCACAATGAGACTGGGGATCCTACCACTCCTAGTGGTCTTGTTAATAAAGTTTTCAATGTTTATTTGTTTTGCTTGGACTACAACATCCAGCACACCCTTTGCTGCTTTTCCGGCTCCTGTAAATCTCTCACCTGCAAACATGGTGACAGTATGCGCGATCACTGCGCGCAAGAGTTCCGTTGCCCGCGTTGCCCACTTCAGA